GGGTGGACTTCAACTCCCAGAATTCCCCAGCCAGCTTGCTGGGAGTTGAAGTCCACCCATCCTCAAGGGGCCAAGGTTGAGAAACACTGGTCTAGTAGATAGATAAATGTGGATTATCTTCTGCCTCCCGCCAAGCCCAATTTATTTAAGCAAACCACACCACCCAAAGCAACTTTTAGGCCTTCTCTTCCACCAAGGGAGACGCCGGTAAGTTTACTCCGGTCCCGAGCAAACGTTGGTTCACGACCACCTTGGCCCTCGTCTAGGTGCCCTTGGAGAGAGGGCAAGATGGCGTTCCTTACACAGCCCTTGCGTTCAGAGGCCTGGCTGCTGGAATGTTGGGGTGCTGTCAAATTAAAAAAGGGGATTTGGGGACGGAGAAGCCAGGGAGACCCCCGGCCGCAAGGTTTGGCCCTGCAGACCTCGCGCTCTGTTGTAGGAAGATGGAAAGGGAGGAGGAGGATGGATTTTAGGGGCTGGGAGGGAGGGCGGGGGGCACAGCTATTTGGAACCCAAGATCCCAGCCAGACTGGCCTCTCTGCATGTCCTTGGCCCCCAGCCCCTCCCGGCCTCTGTCCTTTAGTGGGAAAAGCCAGCCGGCCAGCCAGGAACCTCCGAGGTCTGATGCGCTTCTGCTCTTGTCTCCTCTCTCTTCCTTTAGGTCTGGAGCTCAAAGTAGGAGCCATCTCTGCTTGATTCTCTTGCCCACTCTCCAACCGCCCCGTTTCCTTCTTCTCTCTGCTCTTCCTCCTCATAAGCCTCCCAGAAAAACTGCTTCTCCCGGGCACGGGTCGCTTTCCTCATTGACTGGCCCCCAAGACTTCTCCCAGGACGGAGTCCCACCAGACGGGCTGCTTCTCCTGCTGCCTCCTCTCCAGCGTGGGCTCCACGCCCCTCCGTCCGTTTGGTCCAACCGAGGAGCACCAGGTTGGGGAAGCTGCTCCTGCACCGGCCCGTTCCCGGCCACGAGCGACGGAGCTCGGAGAATCGGAAGGGCCAGGATGCTGCTTTTCGGGAATAGACGGATGGATTTGAGATGGATGGATTCGAGGTGGACGGATTTGAGATGGACGGTTCAAGGGGGATGGATTCAAGACGAGAAGACAGCCACTTTGGGGGGCCTCATCCTCACAGCGTCTCCTCCCCCCCCAATTCCCCCCCCCAGGCAATTTTCTCGCAGGCATCGGTGAAGGTCGGGTTGAGAGCAGTGAGACAGCGGTCCGAGCCAAAATTCAGCTACCTCTAACTTTGTACACCCCATCCATTCGATGTCCTGGTCCTTGGGGAAAGAGGGGGCCGACCCACACGCTCCAGATGCTGCCAAATGGCCTCTCCAAGCATCCCTCACCATAAGCCATGCTGGCCAGGGTTGATGGGCATTGTAGTCCTGCGGCATTGACCAAGCCACGGGTTCCCTGACCACCTTTCTCAGCGTCCCCCCGCCGCCAGAGAGACTGAAATGAAAAGTAGGCGAAAGAGAGGGGGGAAAAAAAGAGGAATCCCCCCCAAGTAATTATAGAAGGCAATTCCTTACCCCCATAGAAGGAAGTGGAGGAATTCTGAAATATTCCAACCCCTTTCCTTTCTTCTTCTCCCGGCCCCCTTCCCAAGTTTCTGGATGCAGGTCATGCTTCCCTCCAAGATCTGAAAAGTCAGACTTGGGAAGCTTGAAACCCGAAATGGGTCTGCCCTCATTTTTCTCTGCCCTTGCCTGCTTGCCTCGTGGGGAGGCAAGCCGAGATTGGGGGGGTCGTACAGGGCAGCCTCCTCAGTGGGAAGAAGCTTTGGGGTTCAGACCGCACTGGCCCTGCTCTAAAGCCCAGTTTCCTGCAAGAGGCAGGGAATCAACTCTTTAAACGCTTTTCCTTCCTCCTGGCCTGGGAGGAGTGGGCCGTTGAGAAACGGGGAAAGGTCCCGAGGGGGGGGGGGGGGAATGGGTTGTGCTTTTGGAAATGCCCCCCCACCAGACAAGACGTCTTGCCCTGCCTTTCCTTGCTCACCTAGAGAATGAAGTTAATTCCCCCTTCCCCATGCCCCTTTCGAACAACCCTCCCCCTCGTGTTCTCTTGCAAACTTTTTCATGGGCTTTAATGAGGGTTGGAGGCAATTTGGGGGGGGGGTAGGACTGCTGCGCTCCCAGATTGGAAAATCGACACACCAGAGAGGGAAGGAAGGGGTTAAACTGAAGCCACAGTCCCCAGGCACATGCGTTTGGCATCACCCGGCACACCAGCTCTTTGGAGATCTGCAAGATCCAGGCCCGAGCTGCAGCGGGGGGATCCCCTGGGGATCGGGTCTACCACCGTTGGGAACCTCTTGGGGGGTGAGCCAAAAGGACTACAGAGCTCATCGCCCACCGCTCCATCCTGAAGGGCCAACGCTGATGGCACCGACCCGAGACGGAGAGTCTCCGGCGGAGGGCACCGCGAGATCCGGATTCCTCCATCCACACCTGAGATCTGACCGGACAGGAGGACCCCCGCCCGCCTGGCCGAGTCCGTTTCGGCTCCGAGCAGCGACTTTCTTGGAATCTCGGCTTCGTCCCACCTTCTCCAGGGAGGAGGAGAAAAGGCCTTTGGAGGAAAAAAATTCTCTTTTCTCTCCACCCCCTTCCCCATCCGCCTGGACTTCGGCCAGGCGACTGGCTCTTCTGGCAGCCCGGCGCAGACGGTCACGGTCCGCCCAGCCC